CCCCTGCCCCCCGCCCCTGCAATTTATTTTGGGTAATATATTTTGGGGTTTATTATTTGGTAGTTTTCTGTGCTTGTGATTTAAAGGTTTAAGTCCAGCAGATTCTTTTCTTCGCAGTAATGAGCTCAGTATGAAAGAAGATTCCCGTCTAAACTTGCTAGATGATGGCACGTTAATGATTCAGAATACTCAAGAAACAGACCAAGGCATTTACCAGTGCATGGCAAAAAATGTGGCTGGAGAAGTGAAAACTCAGGAAGTTACTCTTAGATACTTTGAGTCACCAGGTAAAGAACATTGTTTGAATTTTGCATTCGGATAGAGAATTGTTTTCGTAATAAGATTGATAAAAATAAAGTGCTTTGGCTCTTGCATGTTCTTGATGTGTAGATTTCTTGTGCTTGGGCATCTTAAGAACTAGATCATGAAGTTATAATATCCGTGGAACAAACATGCAAATCGGCCAGTTAATTAGTATGTTTATGGTAGCATGCAATTCTGATGATTGTCTTGTAGGCTGTTCGTGGAAGGGTTAGGAAAAGAGGCCATTGCATCGTGATGTTGCTCGGTGCAATAATATTTTCTCTGAATACCTGAAAACCACAAGCTTCTGAACAGGCCACTCATGAAAGCTTTGGCACACCCTGGGCATCCGTCCTTGCTCAGGAGGTTTTTAGGTCTGTCTAGCCAGAGCTTCATGTTTGCAAGCACTAAATTTCTGTCCAGGACTGTAATGTTTTTAAATTCCAAACTTTGCTGTGAGAAAATTTTGTTTTAACACTCAGGATCAGGTGAGCTTAAAATGTCACTGCAAAGTACACATGTAGTTGGGAAAAGTTATAAAATGTAGCTTAATCAGTTTTGTCTTTTTGTGCATTTATAGCAATTTTTAGCCAGTTTGTTTTCTGGGTCTCTCTGTCTACGCCTCTGAAGAGACCTTTATCAAGATCAGCAAATGAGAAGGAAATATTTGAAAATTGTTTTAATGAGAGTTAAGATTGTATGAGCTTTTATATTTTATCTATTGGTATTTATAAATGTCTGCAAAAAGATCAGGCTTAAAGCAAGGCAGAGTTTGCACCAAGATTAGAAATATGTTGGAACAAAGCTATTAAAAAACACCTAGATTCTCCAAACTATTGCAATATTCAGCTAAATTAGTGCTATCTGAGCTAAAAGTCATATTTAGGCATCACTCTTTTCTCACAGCCCGGCCAAGTTTTGTGATTCACCCACAAAATACTGAAGTGCTAGTTGGAGAGAGTGTTACCTTGGAGTGCAGTGCAACCGGGCACCCTCAGCCACGAATTACCTGGACCAAAGGTGACAGAACGCCTTTACCAAGTGACCCTCGTGTCACGATAACTCCGTCAGGAGGACTTTACATACAAAACGTGAAGCAGGAAGACAGTGGCGAGTATACCTGTTTTGCAACTAACAGCATAGATAATATCCATGCGACAGCGTACATCATCGTCCAAGGTGGGTAATTTTAAACTAGGAGTAACATGCTGTAAAACATATTAGGAAGAGTATATTACTTTGAATTGTGTGGGTTTGTCTTTTTTTCTGAATTATCAGAGCTGAACTAAAGCCATAAGAGTTTTTTCTTTTAATTACACTATTCTAGTGTAGTCCATAGGAAAATTGCTTTACATTTCACTCAGAGTAAGCTATTATATACTAATTCTCTGAAAGTTGTTTCATTGATTATTCTTAGAAGTTAATAATTGGTGCTTTGAAATGTTTATTTCTTATTACAGTTTGTTTGCCTGTAGGAATAAACATATAGTGTCAAATTTGTTGGGGGATTTCTGTAACAGGCAGCAATCCTAGAGAGTGCTGGAGTTGTGCCTGGGGTACTAGAAATGGAGTTATGAGTAGAGGTCTGTGCTGCCTTTCTTTTGTAGACACTTCAGTGAATGTGGGAACATTTTCTGCTGATTTTCATGGAAACTATCACTCTGCCAGCTGAGGTGTTAGCATAGCTTTTCTGCAAAATAAAAGTCAAAGTACTCTAACTTACTGTGATTGCGATAATTTTGGTATTGTATGTCAATAATATGAACCTAAAATTTTTTAAGAACAATGTATCAAAAGCCTCCTATATATATGGAGGATACTTTTGCAAATGTTTTCATGCTGGAACTTCTATTTGCAAAACATTTTGAGTAACGTATAAATTTAAGTTTGTTTCTGTTCTCATGTTAAGATCTCTAGTGGGCAAATGGTTTAGATTGTAAATGCTTTGTTAGTGAGTTCAATTTTTTAAAGCTATGCAAAACAGCTTGTCCATGTGGTTTATTCATTTATTATTCACCAATGAATGATTTTGTTTTAAGAGCTGAAGAAATTACTTCTCCTACTGATACTGCAGAAATTGGCCCACACTCCACTCACTGCTTTCCTTTTGTATAAAGAAGAAAACAAGCAGCTCAGGATGGTTTTGACTACATTGCATTTTCTTCGCAATTTAGCTGAGGAATTTTTGAGAGAAAGAGAAGCTATTTTTAATCCAGGGAACACTGTTTGATTCTACAGGTCTTACCATACCTCTTATTTTGGATCTATGGCAGTAGATCCCAGAGGCCTTCACTGACGCCAGGGCCAGGTTGTGAGGGAGATGTTCCTGATGCACTAGTGGTTGCCCTAACTCTCTGTCCTGTAGTGGTCACAATATAAAAAAGTCCTATTAACATGTCTTTTCCCACCAATGTGAGCTATTCAAGAAACACAGGAAACAGTATGTCATTTCAGACAGTTGTGCATTTTTCAGGTTTTTTTAACCAGTTTATTTTCTTTTCTGTAGCTCTACCTCAGTTTACTGTCACTCCTCAAGACAAAACAGTGATTGAGGGACAAACTGTTGATTTCCCTTGTGAAGCACAAGGCTATCCCCAGCCTGTTATTGCCTGGACTAAAGGAGGTAAGTGTGTTTTGGTTTTGCTTTTAAACTACTAGGATAGTTTATCTGTGAATTTGGAATCACTCATGCATTGAAAGGAATTGCATGTATTTGTTTATATGCTTCAGTCTCTGAAGGAAAGAGGGCTCATCTCTTTCTGCTTTAGCTAGAGAAGGCAAGGTGTCCCACAAAACCTAGCTGCCCAAACATTTTTCATTATCCAGTAAAAGAGTCTCTAAAATATGTGTCTTCATAATAGATTCCCAATAATAAATGTTTAAGAAATATGAAACAAATCACATGTGGCAATACCTATCACTGCCAGTTTACTGCAGAAGAAATGGACATGACTGTCATTAACTGGAGATCTGAAATTAAGTGGGATGTGCTCTCTTTAGAAACCAGAACAGTCCAACCTGTAACTGACATCAGTTTTTTTCTGTCGTTTCATGCATATTGACAGGAACACAGGTGCACTTTGCTGACTGTTTTATCAGGTTGTGGCTGTAAAGGCATTAAGCCAAATCCGGTGGGAAGAAATGCTGTAGTGCATGTTTTATCAGTAAGTAAATATTCCAGTTGAAGCAGATGGAATAGCTCTAGCAGACAAAACAACTCTTAGGAAATTCTAAATTATGCTAGATTAAGCGGATTTTTAGGAAACTCTTGATCATTTTGATGCTGATAATGTCCCTGTTTCTCCCTCTACCAAGATTGCTTCAATCAAATGAAAGGAAGAATAGGGTACAGGCACTGATATGCCTTTTATTTCATTTTTATTATATTCCCTTTTTTCAGGGCTGTATGTATTTATCTATGAATTTTCTAATGGCCTAGGCAGATGAGATGAATTGTATCCTACACACATAGAATCATAGAATATCTCAAGTTGGACCCATAAGGATCATTGAGTCCAACTCCCTGCTTCTCACAGGACTACCTAAAACTAAATTGTATGACTAAGAGCATCATTTTCATCATGCTTCATGACAGCTTCCTTCTGTGCATGGTGCTTGTCAATAATATGAAATAAACAGTGATACCTGTTGGTGTTCTTATGATGCCTTCTCATTCAGATGCTTTATCACGCTCCTTAAATGAAAGTATTTATTTCTACCACAAACAGAGAGGAGATCAGATTTATGATTGTGTGCTTATGTATGTTTTGTTTGCTTTGCATGTTTATTTTCTGAGAAGTAAAGATTTCAAACTTTTATTTTTTTAAGAGCCTTTAATTTTCCCCAGTGTTTTAACAAATTTAAAATCTTCTGGATTTCTCTTTTTCTGTCACAAAGGGACTTTGTTCTGCACTACTATAAATAGCAAATGCTGTTGCTCTGTGTTTCAGGAGGCCAGTTGTCTGTTGACAGAAGACACTTAGTTTTATCCTCTGGAACACTAAGGATTTCCAGGGTTGCTCTGCATGACCAGGGACAGTATGAGTGCCAAGCTGTCAACATTATCGGATCTCAACGAATTGTCGTATACCTGACAGTACAGCCTAGAGGTATGTTCTCTATGTACAGCTGCTGAAAAAAAAAAAAAGCTTACACTAAAATACACAGTACTATGTTTGATTATTTTTTTTTCCAAAGATCTAAAATTGAGAATGTATTATTTTTGATGGTGCAAAATGCTGATATGAAGTAGTTTATCTTTCTGTAGAATTTAAAAAGCTTTTGAAACAGAGCTTGAACAGTGCTTGGGTTTTTCTTCAGGACTTTTTCTGCGTTTTACAATGATTCTAAGTTGCTGGGTTTGAATTGTAAGAAGTTTTATTAGTTTTTATAAATTGATCATGTGGGACAGTGTGCCCTGATAGACTTTGTTCAAATACACTTGAGGACTACATAAGCTTACAACTAAACAAGGCCTTTTTTCATAAAAGCTTGTTAGAATGAGGCTGTACCTTTTGTTGTTTAAAAAACTTGCTGTTCCAGGGTATTGCTAGCATTTCATATTTCTGATCATTGTTTCAAAGTACTTCTATTTTAAGATTCCAGGTGGTTTTTAAGAAATAACACCTATGGATACTTATCAGTATTTTTATAAAGTATCATTCCTTTAGAACAGTCTGTCTTCTGTGAAAGAGGTGTATCTGATTTACTCTTTTTTGTAAAGAATGGAGGTTTGTTTTCAGGATCCCTATGCTTGGGAAGATATTTTGTTTTGTGAAAAGACTTATATGGTTTCTTATAAGATTCTATGCTATTAACTAAATAGTTTTATTAACATAATGTTTTGATGCCCAGAAACAACATTTTATTTTACAACAGCAAAATGACCTTCATAATGAAAAGTCATTCATTGTACTTAAAATAAGCTGACATAGAAAAAAAACACCCACTCCATTTTTCCTATGTTTTTCTTTAAGTAAATTAGAAGTAAGCTACTTCTAAGATTAATTAGAATTATATTGATATTTATTATTTAGTTAAGTACTTCGGTGTTTAACTGAATTCAAGGGGGTTAAACATTTAATTCAAAGCATTTCTTGTTAGTGACCTCATTTTAAACAGTATTTTAGCGAAAGGGGCTCAAACGTCTTCCTGAGCTTAGATGTTTGTCAGAAAAAAATTCCATTGCTTTTTCTTAGTTAAGAGTACTACTGGGAGACTGATTTGTCAAAATCTAGATTTTTTTTTTTTCTCCTATATGAAATTGTTGACTAAAATTCCATGAAACAAAACTCAATTTTAAAAAGTTTTACAGCCTTCCAACTGTGTTAAACATCACTGAACTTGAGTAAAGTTCAATAAAATGATTTTTGTGTAACTCTGGTTGCAAAATCAGTCACCACAAGATAGTAAATACAAGATTGAAGGCTGCATATGTAGCCTGAAATTGGAGCTCTCCATACATTCATTTCGATGCTTTTTTCAATTACGGAAGAAGAGAAAACTACTTCTTCTGGGCTTCTAACAAAAGGACAGTTCACCTGAGGAATGTCTAGTCAGTGGTCGCTGTGGCTAAATCTGTATTAATGAATACGGATTAATGGTCCAGGTCTGTTTGCTGGCATGACATGGCTCACATCCATAAAGCCAGACTCTTTTACCTCCCAGTGCTGGACACCTGCTTCTGGATGCCTTATTTGAAAAGGTTTCTGGTCCTTGACAGCCATTTGCATGCAAACAATTTAACACCAAGGCCAGATGTTGTTGGTAGCATAAATGTATGCTGTGTGGCTGAATACTTCCCTGTAAAAGCACAGCCCCCTCTCAGTCCCCCCAAAATATTGATACGGTACAGCAGAGATACAATTCTTAATATCTTCATAATCTTGTATATGCTTCTTATAATGATACCTGAGTGCTGGAGGTTAATCTGGATATGAAGGGAATTAGGATTTAAAAGTGCATAAATTTTTTTTCACACTGGATTTAGGTAACTATGTACCCTGTGGCCTTAAAATTGAAGGTGATTTTTTTTATGTTTTAAGGCCTGGGGCTCATTGTTGTCAGGGGGGTAGGAGCTCTTTGAAGGCTTAGGACCTCAGCAAGTCAGTCTGGGGGAATCACAGCTGAATGAGTTGTGGAAAGTTTTGCTTTTGTCATCTAAGAAATCTCTGTCGTTACAATTTAAAAAAAATTGAAACTTAAAAAAATTGACAGCAGTTCATGGGATATTCATTCTGGTGACTTTGTTCAGATTTAGCTATACACAGATACAGTTTCAGAGCTTTTAATTTACAGAACTTAAGTGTTTTTGTCAACTACTAGACTGTTTTGTTAGAAGTTAAGAGCACTTAAAAACCAGCCTGAAGCAGACATCAGGAATAAGGAATTTCATCTCTAAGAGAAACATAGAAGCAGCTAAAACTTGCAGACAGAATAGGGTTATAGTCTAAGAAATGTTGGGTAATTGAAAAAAATTAACAGTGCTAACTTCTTTTTAGATCACTTTTGCACAAATTGTATTTCATACCTTCTCAATGTATCATTTATTTTTTTAGTGACTCCTGTATTTGCCAGCGTTCCCAGTGACATGACAGTAGAGGTTGGCTCAAACGTGCAGATCCCTTGCAGTGCTCAAGGAGAGCCAGAGCCAGTAATTACATGGAATAAGGTATTAGATATTTGTTTGGTTGTTGCAGAAAGGGAGTGGCCTTTCCATTTCTTCATAACTAGCTATTACAGAGCACATTTAAAGGTCAAATTATTGCTTGCTCTGGTGTCTGAAAATGTTACCTGAAGTTCAGTCAGAAAATCTTCTTTAATACAGGGCATGTACATAGATACCAAAGCTGAATTATATATATAAATATATATATATGGTTATGCAAATCATTATACAGACCAGCTAAAATTCATAATGTAGGCCTTAAAAGACCTGTGTATTTTAGTGACAGTTCTGTGCAAATATACTATTAATATTCACACTTTCAATGATATTACAGATATAAAGCAATAAAAATACTGTATTGCTGAGACCTTTGACATTATTAGTTTGACATTTCAACCAGGACACATTTCAGTAAGGAACACCAGTAGCAAAAGGAAGACTAGGGAAAATGTGGACCCACTGCTGAATGAGGTGGGTGCCCTGGTGATGGAAGATACAGAAAAGCTGGAGTTACTGAATGCCTCATTTGCTTCAGTCTTTACTTCTAAGGGTGGCCTTCAGGAATCCCAGACCCTGGAGGTAAGAGACAAAGTCTGAAGAAAGGAAGACTTTCCCTTGGCCAAAGACAATTAGGCTAGAGAACATTTAGGCAAACCGGACACCCAGAAATCCATGGGCCTGGATGGGATGCACCCACGAGTGCTGAGGGAGCTCGCAGATGCTGTTGCTAGGCCACTCTCCATCATCTTTGAAAGGTCATGGAGGACAGGAGAGGTGCCTGAGGACTGGAGGAAAGCCAATGTCAAGCCAGTCTGCCTCACCTCTGTCACTGGAAAGCTGATGGAGCAGCTAATTCTGCCTGTTATCTCTAAGCATGTAGAGGAAGACAAGGTTATCAGTAGTCCAATGGATTTGCCAAAGGGAAATCATGCTTGACCAATCCGTGATGGCATGACTGGTTGGGTGGATGAGGGAGAGCAGTGGATGTTGTCTACCCTGGCTTCAACAAGGCTTTTGACGCTGTCTCCTGTGACAACCTCACAGGTAAGCTTAGGAAGTGTGAGATAGATGGGTGATCCGTGAGGTGGATTGAGAACTGGCTGAATGACAGAGCTCAGAGGGTTGTGAACAGTGGTGCTGAGTCTAGTTGGAGGCCTGTAACTAGCAATGTTCCCCGGGGGTCAGTACTCGGTCCACTCTTGTTCATCAACGACCTGGATGAAGGGACAGAGTGTACCCTCAGCAAGTTTGCTGATGACACAAAACTGGGAGGAGTGGCTGACACACCAGAAGGCTGTGCTGCCTTTCAGTGAGATCAGAACAGGCTGGAGAGCTGGGCAGAGAGGAACCTAATGAGGTTCAATAAGGGCAAGTGTAGGGTCCTGCACCTGGGGAGGAATAACCCCGTGCCTGGGCTGGGGGTTGACCTGCTGGAGAGCAGCTCTGTGGAGAAGGACCTGGGAGTTGTGGTAGACAAGTTGACCATGAGCCAGCAATGTGCCCTTGTGGCCAAGAAGGCCAATGGTGTCCTGGGGTGCATTAAGAAAAGGGTGTCCAGCAGGTCGAGGGAGGTTATCTTCCCCCTCTACTCTGCCCTGGTGAGGCCACACCTGGAGTACTGTGTCCAGTTTTTGGCTCCCCAGTTCAAGAGAGACAGGGAGCTGCTGGAGTGAGTCCACCAGAGGGACACAAAGATGATGAGGGGACTGGAGCATCTCTCCTATGAGGAAAGGCTGAGACACCTGGGTCTGTTTAGCCTGGAGAAGACCAAGAGGGGACCTTATCAACACTTATAAGTATGTAAAGGGCAGGTGTCAAGAGGATGTGGCCAGACTTTTCAGTGGTGCCCAGCGACAGGACAAGGGGCAACAGACACAAACTGGAGCACAGAAAGATCAATCTGAACATGAGGAAAAACTTCTTTACTCTGAAGATGGCGGAACACTGGAACAGGCTGCCCAGGGAGATTGTGGAGTCTCCTTCTCTGGAGATACTCAAACCCCGTCTGGATGCAGTCCTGTGCAAACTGCTGTAGGTGAACCTGCTCTGGCAGGGGGGTTGGACTAGATGATCTCCAGAGGTCCCTTCCAACCGCTACCATTCTGTGATTCTGTAAGAATTATTATATCAAACTATTAGAGTTGTTAGTAGAATTACCAATGAAGTAATGTGTTGCTAATATTGACCTTCGATTTTTCTGATTATCTTCTTCTCTTCAATTAGTAAGCATTAGAAAATGTTCTTTATGTATCTTGAATAGCTTCTAAATGCATAGCATGTGCAGAATTGATATTTAAAAAGCTCTTGGATCTTTAGTTGGTTAATTTTGGTTAAAATCAAATATACATGTTCTCAAGAGGTGCTATCTTACTTTGGAGTCTTATATTTTATGTGGTAAGGACCCATAACTATTAAAATACTTTAATCTATAATGAGTACTTCTTTTAAAAGTAAATAAATACACTGTACAATTTGGAAGTGCATGCAAGTCGTCATGTCAACATAAGTGTATGTGAGTTTTTATGTAAGTTGATCTAGATTTATTTGACTATTATCTTGGCATACAAAATAGAAATATAAAATAAAATGTAAAAATTAAAGACAAAAATAACACAAAAATTCAGGTTTGAGAACAAAGAGTGTTTAGAATAATTAAACATTGTGCTTTGCTGCAGGATGGAGTACAGGTAACTGAGAGTGGAAAATTTCATGTTAGTCCAGAGGGATTTCTTACCATTCGTGATGTTGGAACAGCTGATGAGGGTCGATATGAGTGTGTTGCCCGAAATACCATAGGATACTCCTCTGTTAGTATGGTGCTTAGTGTTAACGGTAAGGTGTATGAATCCAAGGTATAAGTTAGATTATTAGTTTTATTCTCTTTGCATAATTTGTAAGATGCAAAAAAAGTTAATCAAATGTTACTTTCTTTCTTTTTACTCATATTTTTCTTTTTCTCCCATCTTTTTTTTTTTCTTTCTTCATTTAGCTGAGGCAAGTATCCACACAGATGTAAGACAGGAGTATGTCAGCCAAAATGTCTCTAGGAGTTAAGCTTCAAAACAAACAATGCTTTGGGCTCCAGTTGGTCATACTGCTTTCCTCTTGAGATATTATTTGGATCTATTAGAATTTGCTAGTTGAATACACAGTCTAATCTTTGGGGATCACTTCACAAAAAGTCTTGTTGCATCTTTAAAGGGGCACTTACAGCACTTTGTTGAAAATTAGGCTGCAACTGTTGTGAAAGAATTCAGGAAAGTCATAATGATCTTAAACTAAAGGTGAAAACAAAGAAAAGGAGAATATTTGAGCCTATTCTAATTATTTAAAAGTAATAATGGTAAATAATAGTCATCCATTATCAATACATAATAATTGGTAATAAAGTAGCCAAACAGGTTAAGGAAATAACTTTGTTACAGATTGACCCTAACACTCTTCTGACTTACTGAGTAAAACTGTTGATTTTTCAGACTCATTTTGGTGGAAAATATTACGGAAACTGTGTGACTTTTTGTATTTCAGTAGAAAATATGACACAATATTTTTGTATCATTAAGAAATGAGTATTGAGCAGTGATTTCTTTAACATATTGGATATTGTATCCCAGTGTTATGTCTGATGTTCTGTTTTTTTTTTACTAAATGTATAAATATATATCAGTGATTTTTCTAATGCATTGATTACTACGATATCAATCACGTGGTATCAATAAAACTGTGGTGATACCTGGTTTAAGTTGCTATCAATCTGTCCCCTCTGCTGTCAAAAATAACGTTTCTCCAATCTGTAAAGGTAATTTCTGAGAGAAAAATTGCAGGACTGAGTGTCATTCAATTATAAGGTTTCATCTACATACATAATGTCTGCAAAAGAAATTCCATAAAAATCAGTTAATCTTGGTTGCTCTAGAGATGCATGGTAAAAAAAAAGTTGTTGGCTTTTTTTGGTGTTTTGGGGGAGGTTTTTTTGTTTGGTTTTTTGTTTGTTTGTTTTAAGATTAGCCAGATTTCTAATCAGTAAGTTCTCTGAAAAATGAAACCATTAATTGAACTATAACCCTAATAGAAATCAATTTCATTCACTTAGTGCAGGTGTCAGCTGCTCATTCTCATGTGCTGAAATGAGCCGACTACAAAACTTGGTGCTAGCTGATCTGCAGCACTTAATTCTGATGTCGTTATTTTTCTTGTAAACTGTAGCACCAATAAATGTAAAATTAGTGAAACTAATCTTAACCTGCATTCAGTCTGAAACTGTAAATGATGTTTCTCCTTAAAACTGGTGTTATATTAGATACTGTGTTCTATGGTTGCTATAAAAATGAAGCTGTCAGAGAAGCAAGGAGGACAGGTGGGTGGATCATAAGGACTGGATACTTGCTATCTGGATAGTATTAATAATGGCATAGCCAGAAATGCCTAAAAACTTGCTTTCAACCTTTCTTTTAAATAAGGTTGGTGTTTTATGAATGTTCCTAATGCATAAAAACCTTTTCTTAACACTGAGACGGAATAAAGAAAGGCAAGTATAGAAGCTCTGGGGGGCACATTTTGCTGACCATGTTTGATAATATCTTAAAGAAATTTTTCTTTTGCCATTTTCTTCTGTCCTTTTCTGTTGTTTTGTAAAGGTCTCCGGATTAAGTGTAAGGCAGGATGTGTGTGGATTACGTTTTCGTTGCTTAAAAAAATTGCCATTTTTCTCTCTTCTGCCCCACAGCGCCCCCTGCCCCAAGGAAAAAAAAAGTTCTTGTGTGAAAGGCTTGCAGGGAGCTTTAACTTTTAATATGTATCAGTCTAAAAGAAGAACTATTGGCAACAGCTAGTCTAAACAAAAATAAAGTACAGTATAGTTAGCATCTGACCAAGGTTTATGATTCAGCCCACATGTACCACTAATCAGAAAGATAGCTCTGCAAAACCTATATCTAAAGTGGAGTGCACACCGAGGTAACATTGATCGTAGACAGCACTAGAGTAGATAATCAGCAACTGGATTTTTACAGCCTGTAGTGTTGCAGTGTTAAGATGGGTCATGGCACACAAGCACGCTCTGAAACAACTAAAGTGAGGGTAGCAAACTTGTAAATTATATTTGTCCTTGAAATAAGTAACTTGTCTGGTAATGTTTCTGTATGGTTGCTATGAAAGTGAAGCTGTCAAGCAAGGAGGACAGTTGGTACTTAGGACAGATCAGGGACTATTGCCATCAGGCACTGTGGAAAGGATCAGCTCATTTTGGATGCTGGGAGTATGTTGTCAGCAGCCCAAGGCAGCTGGCCTCAGGGCAGAGAAAGGGGCTTCGGCTACAGCTATAGAGTGCCGGGAACTGTTTTATTTGACAGTATAGATGGTTAAGTTTGATTACCCAGGTCTAGACTCTGGAGCTCATATAGCCTAAGCTGGCAGATGTGAAGGAATAATGAAATATTGCCTAGAAAAGGAAAAAAAAAAAAAGAAGTCATGAAAAGCTTGCAAACAACGTTTTTTCTGTCAGCTGATTTTGTACATCTGCTGACTTTATTCCAGTGTATTTGTTTTGGACTTTTTCCCTACTCTACCCTTCTTCCTGTGTGACTTTTCCAATCTAAACACACTCTGGAAATTGTTAGCTGTTGCCCCTGGATCTGGTGGTTCTTGGTTTAGAATGAAAGGAAGGTTATTAGCCTTAGATACGTTGTACAAACATCCAGCTGCAACTGAGTACTGTATAAAAAGGCAGATGAATGGACCCATGCTTTAGTGAGTTTCCAGTATTATGTACAGTCATTAAATAGATTTTAAGCACGTGATTTTTAACTTGGTATTAAAATGCTAGATAATTTCAAAGTAGAAAACAAAGTAGTGATCAAAATAAAATATTTATAGCCCTTTAAAATTAATGTGTGTTGCTTACTAGACTAAGCTCAAGAGAGGAGCGATGTTAATTTACTGTAGCTATTTGGGAATATGTAAAATTCTGTGGTTTTTTAAAATTTTTTTGTCTTTTATCTATTTTTTGTGGAATCTCTTTGAATTTATGTAATGCATGTGTTCTAAGAGGCAAACCAAACCTGTCAGTATTTTCCATTTGCTGTTACACATTCCTGTAAACCTTTTAAATTCTTACTTTGAATGCAGTACTTATCCAGTACTAATTGAAATCCAAGGGAATACTTGTGTTGTTTTTCATGGATATAGGTCAGGCTCTTGATATCAACACCTGAAAGCTGATAATACACCACACCAGAAAAAACCCTTAATAGTAATTCGGTTTTTCTTTGGCCGTTTTTACTTAAAGTTGTAGGACTAATTAATGGACAGTTAAACATGGTATGCATTTATCTTCATTTTATTTTGTTTTAGAATTATAAGCAGGCATGACTTTTAAATTTATATTAACTTCTGTTTTAAATGAATTTTACTTTACTGTAATATGCTTTGATAGAATTTCAAAATAGTTAAGAATTTTATATTTGGACAAACTAATGCTTAAATAACAGGGGTTTACTTTGTACAACTGAAATGATGTCGTGTCTAGACTCTGTTTTATAGAAGTATCTTTTTGTGTGCGGCCATTTTTGCAATAACATGTGAATTCCTCTTTCTGTAGTCCCTAATGTCAGCCGAAATGGAGATCCTTTTGTACAAACATCAATTGTGGAAGCAATTGCAACTGTCGACAGAGCAATAAATTCAACACGTACACATCTGTTTGACAGGTATCCCCTTTTTTTTAATATATTGAGAAGTCAAAATTTATTTTGTATATGCTGGCAATAATGGAAGTTTATTAAGCAAGAAGCCATTTTATTATTGAAATTATATTGCTAACTTCTGTTTAGTGCTGGGAATATCAACAGTTTAACATGTTAAAGATTCCTATTGTTTTAACACTCCTGTTGAGATCTCTATTCACTGCAGCAGTTTTTCTGCTGAGATAACGTGTATTAAAAGGCTACTAAAAGTTTAATTGCTACTAAATGTTTAATGTTTTATTATTTTCTTAAATATATTTTTTTTGTTTGCATACCGTTTTGAGATGAGTAACCAAGGTACGTACTATTCATGTTGCTGAATGTTTACATGGTTTATGTAGTGTTGTTATTTTGTAACTCCTGTATATACTTAATATTTTTTTCAAACTATCTATCAGTCGTCCTCGTTCTCCAAATGATTTGCTAGCCTTATTTCGATACCCAAGGGATCCATACACTGTTGAGCAAGCAAGAGCTGGGGAAATATTTGAAAGGACATTACAGCTTATTCAAGATCATGTGCAAGATGGTCTAATGGTTGACCTGAATGGAACAAGTCAGTACTCTTTCCTTATTTTTTTGTGTTGAAGTGTGTTTACCTCTTCTTAAGTCGTTGTACTTTGAGATATTTATTTTTTGAGTCTGCATCCCAATTGCAGAGCTATTACATTGAAATCAGTGGAGTATCTGACTTTGCAAAACTTTACCAAATACAAGTGTTTGCCCAATTCAGTCCTTGGTTTGCACATTGCTACGTTATGGTGTAACTCAGTTTGTTTGAGCTCTGAGTAGAGTGTTTTTATTTTTCCTCATGTTGACAGTCTAGTAAGGAAAAATTCATGCTCAGATTCTTCTACTGGTCAAATTTGGCATAACGGAAGTGCATAATGCATCCTGTTAACTCCCTGTGTTAATTCATTACGACCATTGTTTCATAGCAGAACAGACTTTTCTGTTATGTATTAAAAATAATCAGTTTTTTGTTCATGTTTCTTTAAGTAAAACCGTTTAGTGTCGGCATGCCTTGGCAAGGAGAAGAGATGATATAACAAGAAGGATTTGTATACTTTACAAACCAAGGGTTCTGCATGTACCACAATAGTATTCGAAGAATTATTTGCCACGCATTCTCTAAGTGCTGTCAAACTAAGCTAATTGTTTCCTTTAACACTGATCTGATATAATGAGAAATACAGTTTTTACTGCTTTTTATAAATAGCAGAAAAATGTGAGGTTTAATATTTCTACCTTTTAGTTATTCAAGTCCAAGTTCAAATTCATGAAGTCCAGCTGGAGCATATACAACCAATGTGTGTAGATATGTGTGTGGGTAGGCTTGAGACATAGGACTGAAGCATTTGGAAGTAATGATGGAGTTTTAGGAGAGCTTTTGAGACTTGAGACATAGCCAAAAGCTACACTGAAAATCTAGAGGAAATATTTTTACTTATTATATTCTTTTTGATGTTTATAATTGAGTATTTATTGTAACTTCCGAAAACTTTAACTCTGACTGTGAACTAGGCAAGTATTTATAAGACCAAAGACTGAAAGCTTTGTGGAGTACTGTAACATTCGCTAGTAAAAGAAGCTTGTTACTCATTATTAGAGCTGAGCAAATAATTTGTGATGAATAGTTTACCACAAAATCTTACTAAAAATTCTTTGAAGGCCTGTGTTTTATAAGAGCAACCAGATTTAATTTACTTCTCTGATTAGATACATATGCAAGCATATTGAATATAATACTAGGAAAATATTAAATCTGATGTGTGGGAATTGCTTGATTACTTTTTGCTAGGATTTTTAATAGTGAAATTCAGTCACCTAAAGTTTACCAAAAATTGAATTAAAGCATACAAATACAAATTAATGAACACAAAATCAGGCAACTTTCTGTGATACTGGAAAATCTGTTCACAACCAGAGCTTGCTTCTCAGCCCCACAGAATCTATAGAAACCTGGCTTTTAGATAAACTTGAATATTAAGAAATCTGTTTTCATTTAAAAATCCTAATGCTCAGATTTTAATACTTATATTTGTCCTTATTTGGTTTTATTTCAAAACGCAGAGCCCAATGGAAGGTGTTATTTAGCACTTTTGCATTGGGAACAGTTGGGAAACTTGACAGCTTCCCATTCAGAGACTTTTATTTAATGTAAAATCTTGGACTATCCCAAGGAAAGACTATGGAGCCAAATTCTCCTCTGCAGTGCCAGGCTATATAACAAGGGGAATGGCCACAAACTGCTGCTTGGGAGGTTCAGATTGGATGTTAGGAAACACTTTCTCACCAGGAGGCCAGTGCAGCACTGGAACAATTTATCCAGACAGGCTGAGGAGTCTCAAATCTTTGGAGGTTTTCAAGCCTGCTAGACAGGGCTACAGCTGAGCTGATCCAGTGCTGGAGACAGCCTTGTTTCAAGCAGGAGCTTAGTCTGGGTAAGAGTCCCTCCTAATCAATATTTCTATGATTCCATGAAACATCTTCCTTGCAGTTTAAAAAAAGATAGCTAATATTGTGTGAATTGAGCTAGCCAGCTTTTAAGCCCTGGAAATGCTCAGTGCCCAGCCTTTTAGGAAGCAGAGCCAGAGTCAGTGCCTACAATGCAAGGGGTAATTGAGGGGCTAAAACTGGCATTTATAGCAGCCTCTGCTCTGCTCAGAATGCTATCAAATCTAATCCATAGATGAGACATTGCCTCCCACTTAAAGTTCTAAACAAAGGAGCTGAACCTTTTATTTTAAATTGATAATGAAGGTCATTCAACCTAAAACATTTATAGTTGAGTTTCACTCAGAACTTGATTTCAGAAATGTGAGTGGCAACCAGGATAACAGCAGCAGACAAATGTTTATGTAAAGACTGCATGAATGATCATAAGGAAAGAACTCGGTGATGAATGAAGGTCATTTGAAAAGGAGTGTTATTATAAGAAAATATGTTTTCTGGGTGTACTTTTAGAATTAAACTGTCCTATTAGCCAGTATATTATAATATGTTATCAATAATATCCTCAAAGAGTGTATTTTGCTGCATTACCCAGTGGCACTTACCGGTTTTGCTCTGTGGTTTATTTTTTCTTTTTCCTGGCCTGGAGTATTCCATAAAATAATTTATGTGTGACTACAAGAACAGGTTAGTTTTGCATAATGCAAGCACTAGGTCTCTAATATCTTTGCTTTGACTTGTAAGCCACTCAGAGTACACACACCCTGAAGCTGAGAAAACATAGATCCCCTGACTGAGCACAGGTCCTGTCCCAGCTGAGCAGCTACAAGCAATTGAGTCCCTTTGAAGGCAAAGATAAAGAGGGACTTTAGTTGGTTTGTTTGAAATTGCCCTGCATTGTAGAAATTGGCAGAGAGCCAATATGTCTAGCACACATGTATGTGTTGAATGTAGATGAAGGTCAGTGTCTTTGCAGGCACGCTGGGACTGAGCTCAGGACTAAAAGGAACGTTTCCCGACTGTGCACAATTAGCCTGCACAGGCCTCTTGCAAAACTGCATTTGGCCCATATTCTTGAGTGATCACCATCATGGTGGGAACCCTGTGAGCCTGTGGGAATACAGTGTCACTAAACACTCACTCATTTCCTTTTTTCTTTCTGCCTTTATTCTGCTTGTTCAGTTTTACTCCTGACTGCAAGCTTTCTAGATCAAGAACCGTAGTGTTGTATGATGGTTCCTAGATGGCTAAAAGAACATCTACCCTGACAAATATTCTGCCTCCTGGGATCTCTCCTGGATCCTGGAACCTTGCTCATCCGCACTGTATAGCCATTAATCACTCAAGGTGTGCTATGCTTTGGATCAGCAGGGCTCATTTGAAGTGAATCTGCCAGCTGTCCCCACTTACTGTGCTTTGGTATGAGTTGTGGTATGGTCTTGCACAGTGTAGATTCTTTTCAAATTAAGTGAAAAATGTGGTCCAGGAGTCTAGGAGAACAAAGTAAAGCTTTTCTCAAGGAAACCTGCTCTTGTTGCATAATGGATACAGTACGGATGTCTTTCTCGGCGTCAAAGATTTCACTCTACAGACACATTTCTGTTGGTCTACACAAGTTGCTAATGTAGCTATATAGCCCAAGTTAATGACTTCTTTTCCCCTGAAATATTTCCCCCAAGTATTTCTAGGGAAAAAATCCCTTTCAGAATGACTCCTAATAGGTAGCATGGACAAGGCACTCTATACAAGGAGGCCTTTATTGTCTTCAATCATTCCGCGTGCTGTCATACCACAGCAGACATCATGTAACACGTAGCCTTAGTTTGAAGTTATAAAAACATAATTCTAATGAATTATGATATATATTTTGTATATATAAAAATATTTCTATGAACTGAGAAAAAATGCAGGAAAGCGGTAAGCATGTTGTAGTCCCAGAGGTGAATGGTGTGGATTGCAGAGGAAACCTGTGCCAAGTGGTACGCAAACACGAATTTTCTTTAGAAACTACTCCTGAGTAACATGAATGTGCTACTCCACACCACTTGTCCTAGAGATCACTTCTCTCTTTGGCTATATTGCCTGTGGTTATTTTCTTTTGTGGGTTTTGTTGAATTTTTTTTCTTAAAATTCTGTAACTTTCACTGTAATAAAGCAAAACAAAATCGTAATGTTCAGTGAATTATCAGTTCTCAAAAGAGAAAGTCTTGAAATTCATGTAGATGTTACTGAGAGTTTTTAAAATGCTTTTACTAACATGGAGAAAATTTTCCATTTGTCTCGATATGAGGCTTTTATTTCTGAAAATACCTCTGCTTAATTAAGTGACCAAATAAGTAATGAGCTCCTATTGTGAACATTTTGTAAAAGTACTTGAGTTGGCATTTTACAAAGTTCCCTTCTGACCTAGTTGTGGTTGTTGCTCAAATGATCTAATGCTCTAATACACATATATGCTTATTATTGTTCATTTCGAACAATAGGAATATTTAATCTGGTGGAAAATGCAATATAATAAAATAACATTTCAAATAAATTTGTGATCTTTGGGGACCGTGAGTCTGTGAAGTCTTTGATTTTGTCTCTGTCTCTCTTCTGGTTTCAGGTTATCACTATAATGACCTTGTATCCCCACAGTACTTGAATCTGATAGCTAATCTCTCAGGCTGTACAGCCCATCGACGAGTGAACAACTGCTCAGATATGTGCTTCCACCAGAAGTACAGGACACATGATGGAACATGCAACAACCTTCAGCATCCCATGTGGGGCGCTTCTCTGACAGCCTTTGAACGTCTGTTAAAGTCAGTCTATGAAAACGGATTTAATTTGCCTCGGGGAATTGAACCCAAAAGGCTCTCTAATGGCTACCCACTCCCAATGCCTCGCTTGGTTTCAACTACTCTGATTGGAACAGAAACGATAACTCCTGATGACCAGTACACTCACATGCTCATGCAGTGGGGTCAGTTTCTTGACCACGACCTTGACCTCACCGTGGCTGCCCTAAGTGAGGCCAGGTTTTCAGATGGTCAGCATTGCAGTTCAGTTTGTACAAACGATCCTCCATGCTTTTCAATCATGATACCACCAAACGATCCCAGAGTTCGAAATGGTGCACGCTGCATGTTTTTTGTACGCTCCAGTCCAGTTTGTGGAAGTGGCATGACATCTCTCCTGATGAATTCTGTGTACCCAAGAGAACAGATCAACCAGCTGACTTCATACATCGATGCGTCCAATGTGTATGGCAGTTCAGACCATGAAGCATTAGAAATCAGAGACTTGGCGAGTCAAAGGGGTCTTCTAAGACAGGGCATCGTACAGAGATCTGGCAAACCCCTTCTTCCGTTCGCTACTGGCCCACCAACAGAATGTATGAGAGATGAAAATGAGAGCCCAATTCCCTGCTTTTTAGCTGGTGATCAGCGTTCTAACGAACAGCTGGGTCTTACCAGCATCCACACGTTGTGGTTTAGAGAACACAACAGAATTGCCACAGAGCTACTGAAACTCAATCCACACTGGGATGGTGACACAATATATCACGAAACACGCAAAATTGTTGGTGCAGAAATGCAACACATAACATTTAGCCACTGGCTACCTAAGATCTTTGGAGAGGTAGGCATGAAGATGCTTGGCGAATATAAGGGTTATGATCCCAGTGTTAATTCTGGCATAACTAATGAGTTTGCAACTGCCGCTTTTAGGTTTGGTCACACACTCATTAATCCTTTTCTGTATCGACTGGATGAAAACTTTGAACCTATTCCACAAGGCCATCTACCTCTTCATAAGGCATTCTTCTCTCCATTTCGGATTGTAAATGAAGGAGGCATTGATCCACTTCTAAGGGGATTGTTTGGTGTTGCTGGTAAGATGCGTGTCCCATCACAATTACTCAATACAGAATTAACAGAAAGACTCTTCTCCATGGCACGTACTGTGGCTTTAGATCTGGCAGCTATGAATATTCAGAGAGGCAGAGATCATGGAATTCCTCCCTACCATGATTTTAGAGTTTACTGTAATCTTTCTTCAGCTCAGACTTTTGAAGATCTGAAAAATGAAATTAAGAATCCTGAAATCAGGGAGAAACTTAGCAGGTGAGCCTGAGGTGAAGAAAACAATCAATTATCTAAATGTGCATGCAAAATTAGTAACTGTCTTACCTAGAAGAAAATATTTGTAAGAAAGGGGTAAAGGGATTTTTTAAGAAACTTCTATCTGTACCAGTTGAAAAGTTGCCACATGCAGATAGTTTCTCCACTTCTACATCTCTCTAAATAATAAATTAATATATACTGTATCTGTTAATGAAATTATTAATTTGAAATGTGTGGTTTTATAAATGTTGTTAAATACAAATGTTATTTCAATGTAAGGTCATATTTAATGCCAGTGTCATGCAAGTATTTACATGTTCAGTTCCATCCATTCCATACACTAAAACAAATAGAAATATCGTTCACTGTATTTTCACATGGACATCCTTCACCACCAGTAATCTGTTCTTCTTTAGGGCTTCATAGTGTTTGAAAATAAGTCTTTGGCTACCTGCCACCCCTAGCTTATCTACACAAACTCAAAGACAGAGAATTAGTCTCAGCTACAGTAAAAGAAAGTGTACAGAGGGGCAGGTAAGAGAAGCTATTAAAAAAGAAACGGTTCCAAGAAATCAGAAGAAAGCTACTAGGAGAAAGGAAATTGTGGGGTAGACTTGCAGACCTCCATATGGTCTGTTGTTATTCACATATACAACTTACACAACCTACATTGCAGGATTTCTTGCATATACACCCACAGATTGTTAACAAACGATGTAGCACTATCACTGTCATTTTTACTGTGAATTGTTCATATCTCTTGCCCTTAGATTTGCCACATACTGGTTATTTTGTAAATGTAAAATATTTGATACTAAATATTTGCGTTTTTCTATTTATAGGTTATATGGTTCCCCACTGAACATAGACCTATTTCCTGCTCTAATGGTAGAAGACTTAGTTCCAGGGAGCCGACTGGGGCCAACTTTGATGTGTCTGTTAAGCACACAGTTTAGGCGTATTCGGGATGGAGACAGGTAAATTAAAATATCATAGAAACCAAAATAAAATTTTAATTGGTGTTGCTTAATAATAGTTGCAATGTCTTGTTTCCAAATCAAACTGCATTTTATTTTCATTTATGATTTTTATATATAATTGAAAAGATGAGGAATAGAGGTTTAAAATATTGTTAGAAGCTATGATTAAATTATGTTTTAAATCTGTTACTTTTTATGGTGAATATGTCATGCTGACCTCCAAAAAGCACCACAGCCAACGCATGCCAAGATTCCTTTTACCAGTTATTCAATCACTTACCTTTCTGAAGAACGGATGTTACTCATCCCCTTTCATTGTTATTTAATTATTTTATTGGCAAAGGAATTGTGGTGGTTGAGACACTTTCACCATCTCCATTACTTAAGCATATGTTGGAAAAGTATCACTCTGTGTATGTAACCCCTATACAGCTTTCAATACAAGCAGTCTGTGCACCAAAAGAGTATTAAAAGCAGACAGGTTATCCCAAAGAACACAATGTGATAATTGTTCTTAAATTACTTTACCTGCATATTATGAACAATTTCTCATTTTCAGTTTTTACAGTACCTAAGATAAGAAAATAGAAGTTGCTATTGTTACAGAAGCCAGATCTCCTTTGCATGCTTTCAGCATACTCATTTGGAACCTGAAAATCAACATTTCCCCCATTTTAACATAATTTGTGACCTAGAATCCTGTTTTTTTCATGGCATGAGAGTAGAAAGGCTTATGCTGATCAGTGGCCATCCTAGTGAAAGGGAAAAACAGAGGAAGTATTAGGAAATGGGATTTGATTAATTTTATCTAATGTTATTTGTAAGTTATAGAATTGCTACTTAAGATAGTATAAAGGCTTTTTTATTTCTATAGTCAATAACACAAGCCTTTTTGTGTGCTTCTTTTATAAACAAGTTTCTTACATAAAATCTGTTTAAAAATTGAGCTATGAACCATAAAACTCTCATGCCTGGAGGCAGAGGGAGCAAAAGGAGAAATACATGTAGTATGAGCTCAAGATTGCTGGTGACAAGTATCTATTTTGTCACAATAGGGTGACGATACTGCTTTTTTGTGTGTGTCTGCATTTTTCCAGCAAAACCTTTATTTTCTTTTTTTTTTTTTTTTTCCTGAAACAATATTTAAAAACTATAGGAAAACATTGAATATTTAGGAAATGGGATTCTGCTGTCCAAAGAATACAAATATTTTGAAGGAACATGTCAGCAAATACTAAAATATTGTTAGTCATAGTGAAAGCGATTCTCACTTCTTTGAAAAGCCTTTACAATGGGCAGAGGATCAAAGCTGACAGCACCATGCAAAACAAATGTGCCTGTGCAGGGAAAAGGAGTGATGTTTGAAGGGAGCATAACTTCATGTCAAGAAGGAATTTTCACAAACTGTTTTTCTGATCCCAGTACTTGGAAATTCATTGGCCACTGTCCAGTGCCTTATGAAAATGGTACAATAAGTAGGTAAAATGAAATTTGTTGACCATTCTTCTAAGTATGGTATAAAAATGTTACTGATTTTTCATAAAGTTTAAAAAACATCCTACTTACTTTTAGTTGAAATAGGTAGAAAAAATTATCAAAATAGAATTATAGCTTTACAGTTTTGTAAGATGTAAATGATACCACAGTGAGTAATTCTTCTATGTGAGAATAGTGTAAAATGTTTTCAGATCCTGGACAGTAACCTTTTCTTTTTCAAGGGCTGACTTGCTTTTCATACTAATGTACTATTTATATTTTCTATTGATAATAGGCTTTTCACCCTTTATGTATGGAAAATATATTATTTGAAACCACAGTATTTCCTCCTTGAATATAATGAGTACTGTGTCCAGTTTGAGTACTGTGTCTACTTTTGGGTGCCACAGTATAAGAAAGACATTGAGGTGCTGGAGCGGGTCCAGAGAAGGGCAACGAAGCTGGTGAGGGGTTTGGAAAACAGGTCTTATGAGGAGCAACTGAGGGACTTGGGGTTGTTTAGCCTAGGAGGCTAAGAGGAGGCTGAGGGGAGACCTTATTGCTCTCTACAACTACCTAAAAGGAAGTTGTAGTGAGGCCGGTGTTGGTCTTTTCTCCCAAGTAACTAATGACAGGACAAGAGGTAATGGCCTCAGACTGCGCCAGGGGAGATTTAGATTGCATATTAGGAAAAATTTCGTTACTGAAAGAGTGGTTAGACATTGGAACAGGTGGCCAGGGAGGTGATGGAGTCACCATCCCTGCAGGTGTTAAAAAGATGTGTAGATGTGGTGCTTAGGGACATGGTTTAGTGGTGGTCTTGGCAGTGCTAGGATAATGGTTGAACTTGATGATCTTAAAGGTCTTTTCCAACCAAAATGATTCTATGATTCTATAATGATTTACCTGAGCATATACTAGTAAGTCCCTGAATTAGTATCATCATTGAAATAATTTTGCAGAAAAAAAAATTCCTTAGTAAATTAAACAATCTCACTTGTCTTGATAATAAACTAGGTATAGATTAACCATTATTCTAATCTCAGCAATTCTATCAGAATTTTGTCATAGGAACAACAACATAGGAAGGTTGCCTGGAGAAGTAAGTCTATGGTAATTTAAGCCTCTACCTTAAAAGAACCCTAAACTTGGTAGTCTAGTGCCATTTTAGATGTCCAAAGGTATCCAAGACATTGAAATGGGACTAGAAGAGAAATCAAAGGATTTGTTTAAGACCGCCCTTTCAGAGTGTCAGCATGACACCAAGAAGGGCTGAAGTGACACCAAGTGCTTATGTTTTGGCATCTGGATCACTCCTCACATACAATGTAAGGTTGAGAACAGGATTTATGGAATAATTAATTTCATTCTGAATACAGTATTGCAGTAGCTCTGGAAAATGGAATGTTTTGATTTTTCACTAGCAAACTTGTTTTTTCTGTGAGATTACAGGTTATGGTATGAAAATCCGGGTGTGTTCACGCCTGCTCAGCTCACTCAGATCAAGCAGACATCTCTTGCCAGAGTTTTGTGTGACAATGGTGACAACATAACCAGAGTACAACATGATGTCTTTAAGGTGGCTGAATTCCCACATGGATATAGTAGCTGTGAAGATATTCCTAAACTGGACCTCAGGATGTGGCAAGATTGCTGTGAAGGTCTGTATACAAGTGGATTTGTGTGTATTAATGTGTACTTTGTTTAATGTCTGTTCATTTTACTTTAAGAAGATACTTGACTGTTGTTCAGTTTTTGTTAAGATGTTACAAACTGAAATCTGGAGCACAACCTTTGTTAGGTGAATGATCATTCCATATTTTATATTAAAATGACACATTCTAAACAGAGCATAGATCTGAGAATTGCATGGTGTAGATAACTGTTTTCCTGTTTTCTTCCTTTTGTGGATAAATTTTCTTGTTTGTTGAAATCTCCTTCAAAAGATAGGACAGAGGAGTGATTTGTCTCTCTTCAGAAATAAACTTTTTTTCTCCAAAAACATGGTTTACTTAGCTGCATGAGACACAGGACACTGAGAATCCCATGTTGCTTGGTAGCCTGTATGTTGGATTCTTTCTCACATACAGACTCTCTTTAGCCGTTATCACATCAGACTTCACTGCACCTGTAACATAGTTAGAAGATCCCTTCCCAAGAGAATCTTTCGGATCACACAAACTTGCAGAATGATTTGCAGTAGCATCGACAACAAAAATACTTCAGAGGACAACTCCATTTATTGAGATCTCCTTGATAGTGTGGTTACCATTTTCTTTTGATAAAATTCAAATGACATGCCCTGGCTGAAAAAGTATATTCAGGAATTTTGGGAATTTTTCTGTGGAACTCTGATTATCTAGAAATTGCTGTCAAACAAATTACTACCTGGAAAAAACTTGCTCTTATTAGAGAGGGTAATCAGTTGACAATTACTAGAATCTTATTGTTTACCTAGCAAGAACCTAGCTTTCAATACCAGTATCTTGTAGATTTGCTGATGCAAGGTATCCGGGTCTGAGTTCTTCATCTTTTCTGCTGCTGATTCTCTTGAGTTTTCTACTGCTGAGTAGGCTAGTCAATATTCTGTCAAAAGATATGCATGAATAAAGAACCAGTGGATTGTATTTCTGAGACAGGTCACACTCTTCCACTAGTGTCCATTTAAGTCTTTTGGTGAGATGTAATTTTCTCTGATGACAGCGAGTGAGTCCTTTGGTGATATAGCACAGAGTTTAAGGCAGTAGGTAAACAGTAAACTGATAGAGGATGTCCTTTCAACCTGGTATAGATACAGTAAATACTGAGGAAGAATTCTAACTAGTGTGACTTAACATGAGAACAAATTTAGATATCATGAAAAATGAAAAGAGTAGATAAAGATCTATTATTCAAAGATATTGCACAATTTAGCTTTAAAACTGCCTACTGTATTGTCTTGTCCAGTAAACAACTCTTTAAATAATAAATCACTGTCTAAGAAAATTCTTCCTTGGAAGACTTGGTTCAAAATGTTAGTTCTTTCTGTGAAACTAGGAGAAATAAATACTTTACATTTAAATGAAATCCTGTACAATCCTCCCAGATAGCATTTCATTCAGGTCTTACTCTAATTTTTATCAGGTCTTACTCTGATTTTTATCAGTTGAGGGTTTTTTTAGCTTATTCAATTTTTTTTAAATATTACTTACCAAGTTTGCTATTCCCAAATAGATGATAATAGCTTATAAAACTCTAGCTATGGTTGACACATAGTAATTTTAACGCAAAGTCTTCCTGAATCTCTTCAAAATAACCCTAACGTATGCCAGAAGCACTGAGAGAAAATCAGTTATCACTCTTCAAATGCTTTACCATAAGCAAATAAATCATGGTCTTCCAGTTCAGGATAAGTTCACTTTGCCATGGTTCATGAATCTTGACAGACAGTTTCACAAATACATTAATTATATCAATTTGGAAAAACTGCAAAGCTCTTCTGAGAAATTATGTGTTGATTCTCTAAATGTTGTGTTATCACTGAGCCTTCTAGAGGAGATGTTATCTTTGGAATGTCTTTAGAGTATTCAGCCAGTCAACAGCCTAGCTCGTATCTTCATTCAAGAATGTTACTACCACAGAGTACTACTGGATGCAGTACAGTTAGACAACTGCCAAGCAAAAGAAAGGGTAAATAACTAATGTTCTTTAAAAAATTGCCTATTTATATCCCCTTCTTCTGAACTCTTTTGAAGTCTGTTGTAGAGGTTAATGAAGAAAAAATGAAGTATGCATGGCTTGAACTGCTTTCTTGCATGGATGAATGGGTGTCACGTTTTCTGTGGGAATCCAGGCTTAAGCAATTCATTTAAAAAAAAATCATTCTGTGGCACTAGGGATTCACCACTATGAGATGGGGAGCATACACAGCATGCATTCAGGAACAGCATTTAAGTTAAATACATTCTGGGTTTCTTTGAATTTATTATTGTTTAATATTTAAAACAAAAAAATAAATCATTCTCCAAATTTAAAATATTTGTGATTATTTTATAATTAAAATTATCCTAAGTTAAAGCTTAAAATACAGAATACTCTTCATTGCACTTTATGTATGTTTAATAAGTGACCCATATGTTCAGCTGTTTCAGCTTCGTTAAAAAGCACATCTGTTTTTGTTATCCTTCCTGTTTTGTTCAGGTCAAAATACTTTTCCATATGAAGAATAGAAAAAACTTCTTAGTTACAAAAAGCAACTTCTTAGATTTCTTGAGTGAAGCTAGTATTTATTTCTTATGAAGCAGAGTATTATTCCTTCTTATAATAAGAATACCAGATTACCTTTAGATTTTAGGTAACAAATCATACAACAGAATTACTAGTTTCTGGTGAGAAAAAGAAAGCATTCCATTGAGGTACACAGGTTTTAATTCTGATTTCCTTCAGTTTCTGCCTTTCCTTTTCTTCTCAGAGATGGTGAGAAATTACTGCAGATTTACTGCAGCTCTTTATTTGAGCAAAGGACATCCAAGCTTCTAATTTTCCAAAGAACAAGGTCATTTTTGCTGGCTCTCTAGTGCAAAAAAAAAAGACTTCTTTTTTTTTTTTTAAAGTACTCAGTCAGTATATGCTTCCATGATTACTGACTTTGTATCTCAGTTCTGAACCCAAAACACAGCCATTACAAACCTTTCTTCCCTCAAGTACAAGCATACTGTTATGGTTGTGCCAAATAATTTTGTGAGCTGAATTAAGTTAAAAAAAAAAAGACTAGAAATTAGGTGCAAAGACATCTGGGCTCAAATGGAAACATGGTTTTACTCCAAATATGTAAATTTGAAATGTTTTCCATTGTGAGTCTTTAAAGTTTCACACTTCTTTTTTAATTGAAATAAAAAATTTCTTTAGCTTTTTTTTAATGTTAAACAATGACCCAGGAGGAAGTGACTCAGTCAAGTCATCCTCATAAGCGTAAATTGATTTAGGAAGGCGATATTTCTTAACTGATTCTCAGTTAGCAACCAATGTATCTCCTGTATCACATATTGTTCTTTTTTGTTTAATTCAGGAAAACAGCCTTATACAAATTATGATTAAACATGTTTAAATCCCGCTGAATTTCATTAGAAGATTTAAGATGCATTCTTAGTCGGAATGCATTTATACATGGTCTTCCAGTATGATAGACCTATATTTATGAACTCCTGCATTTTAAGACCAGACGAACAATTATGCCATCTGTTGCTTCTGTGCTGACCACATTAATCTCTTTGATTTAAGCATTGCTCCAAAAGCCATCAACTATTTGTTTTAATGATTGTGCTTTATTCCAAGTTAAAAATCGTCTGGCTTTTACTTCTAGCATTGTATCTTATTATGCACTTCTTATTATGGCCTTTCATCTTCAATGAAAATACTAAGCAACAGTGGGCTATGCACTAAATACTGTGGAAGACTAACATTTTAAAATGTTAACAGCAGTCTCAGTGTGAGATTGCAAGATCTTTTATGACAATGGAAATTGTTTACCAAGTGCTCTTCAAAATACCAAAATGATGCAATTTATGCCTGAACATGTTTTCTCTTTACATGGATCTCATGGTTTGCTTCTGTCATGTCACTTATTTTTGCTTTCTACATTTAAATTTGTATTTAAAGACAGTGTCTGTTAGTGTAATAAAAATCCAGACTATGCCAGCCTACTAAAATAAAGTTCCATGGTTTGTAATTTTAAGGATTTCATCCTTTTTCTTTGAATAAAAGTATGTTTAATATAGCCCAGCATTTCTCTATGAATGAAAATTTTATTGAGAGAATCAGTATTTTTATTTAAATTTCAACCAAACCAAGAATATTTTGTCTTTTTCAGGTATCCATGATAAGTAAAATACAATTCTGATTCATAAACTTAAAATAAGGAGACTTGTCTATGACATTGCTTTGTCTTTGCTACCGAGCTCTCATGCCAGTAGCTGCTATCCCTAGGGAAAAGTAGCAGGGAAGCTGTTACTTACAGCTGAACAGGCTGTCATTCACTGTATTTAAACCCAGACTCCTGGATGAGTCCCCAGATCTAAGATCCCAGCCTGTTGACATCCCACTGCAGGCAGTAAAGGAAGAGATGCCTCTAGAGGACAATTCAGGCTGCAGTCTCTCCTGTGTCGATGTCTATTGACTGTAAAGGAAACATGGATAGGAAAGCATCCTAATGGAGATGTGTCCGTGATTTCTGCAAAACTAGGCAGTTGGAGGATTTCCTTCTTCCCTGTGGGCTGTTACTGCCTTTCTAAGACACTGATACTTTCACAGTCTAATAAGCAGTTCAGTTCTTAGTCTCCTTACTTTTCAAATTTCCAAATTGCCATGGATTTACAGTCTATCTGAAATTATTTTTTCTCACTCATTGATCTTTGATATTTGTGTTCCAAAGGATGCATGTTTTTGATCTGCAAAACTTTTTAACTAGTCCTATTCAGATCATGAAGGCATGATATATTTTTTTTAATATCTTTAGGCTATCATTAGCCATATATCAACAATTTGTATAGTCATGTTCTGTAAATTATCTGGATATTTGCTTTTCCAACAATGTCTGAGCCTTCTAGTTTGGGTAGCATCAGTCTGCGAGCTTCGAGGTCAACTACAAAGGGCAACTTTATTATTAGAATTCCACAGTGTATCAGCTGGGAGATGACAGTCTGTGTTGTCACTTTATCTTCTACCATCTATATCATTTTTTTTGTCCAGATGTTGAAATAATGTTTATGCAAAATGAATCTGTTCCATTCTGAGCAGATTACTGTTGGATTTTAGGCCAATATATTACATTTTTTGCTGCTATTTAATTTATCATTTATTGGAAATTCTTATTCAACAGATGAAATGAAGATGTGCAGTGTAATGTGAAGGGATGTGGCCTTTTTAGCAATAACAAAACCAGCTATTTTGAGTTAGGGCTCCGTTCGGGGTGAAAAGTCTTCCTCCTATGTTGTGTAATTTTATGAAAACGTCTACTCAAAAAAATCTTTTGACATTTCAGACATTTTCAGTTTCTCCTGCCTTATACTGCTTCTACTGGTATAACTGTGAGTTTTTGGATACATACAAATTCTTACAGTAACAACTTAGTCACTACAATAAATCTCAGAGAATTGATGTACTATCAAGTAGAAGCAAAAGTTACATTATTTGTGCTTTTCTTCACATTCTTTTAGTCTCTCAAGTTGTTTTTGTTTTAATCTACTGTTACATTAATTCTCCTTGATCTAGATTTTGAGAGGTGATTCACTGAGAATTAAGAGTGCCAAATACTCCTAAATGTCAAGGCTTTTTCTATCCAGTATACGTTACAGGTGCATGTTTAAAACCTTGTGGGAAACAGGCGATTTTCTGAAGATAAGAACATGGCTTCCATATACAAATGGATTATCTTGACATTCGCAGTGTAACAATACCCAGCTTCTGGAAAAAAATGTCCATAGAGAGAATGAATTCAAAGGTTAATTTTAAACATTCAGCTTTTGCGCAGAAAGTGAATTGGACTGGGTATGGCTAATTTGGGGAAATTTTAGGTAGGCTGAAAAAAGCAGAATTTTACATTTATTTTTCTCATTTACTACTATTGCTAAAGAATTCCTCATTAAAAAAAAAAAAAAAAAAAAAAGAGCAAGATAATCTTCTTGGTTTAGGTTTTCTGAAAGCTAGAGCATTCTGTCCTGTACCTCTCAGCAGTGACAATCCTCTTCCCCGTACCTGAAACAGAAGCCAAGAACAAGAGTTGTTCATTTGGCAAGTTGACATATTTGATTCTTTAAAAACTACAGAAATGTCAGGTCTGTGTACTTGAAGCTGCCACTGAACATATGGTTCTCATATTTACCAGTCAAAATTGATAAAACTTTCACAGGATTTCAGACCTTTGTTTCTAAACACCGGCCTAGGAATAAAAAAACAATGGGCCATTGTGTTATTGTACCAAAAAAACCCCACAACCCACTATATTATGTGAGATGACCTTAACAGTTATTAAACAAAGAGGATAGTAGAAACCTTTCATAAATTGCTTCCAAAAGATACTAAAATTTCTGTAACACTCAGGAAAACTTAAATAACAGATTGCTTTAAGAAAAAAATTTCTCTGACCAAAAGTAGTTCTTTCTCCAGTGGCCCTTCAGAGCGTGACCCTTTTTCCCACCATACTAAATTTAGAAGCGTCTAAGGGTGATCAAAAATGCCTTCATGCCAAGCATTGTATGGACACAGCGATCTGTTCCCATCTGAAAGAGCTTCGTTTCTGAGTAGGCAGCAAGAAGACTGTGTGAGAAACAGCAGAACACACAAGAAGAATGAGCAATATGTTGGCAGTAAATATCATCTAGTTCTTTGGTGGTACTGTTATTATAGAAGGAAGGTAATAAATTTAGTCAAGAATGGGACAAGCTTCAAGGAAAGAAAAGGGAAGGAGAACTGTGGATGAATTGTGTTCAAGAATGATGTGTAGGTATTGTTTTTGAATTGAAAATCAATCGGTACTTTTTTTTTGGTCAGTCTCTCTTTTTTTTTTTTTTTTTTTCCCCTATCTTAATTGATATTCATCCATGGACAAACTAATTTTTTCCTAAAACGGAAATAGTAATAGCCTAACTTAAGTAAAATTGCAATACATTAGAAGTGGTCCAATATACTTATATTTGTATAATCACAGAACAACGTTACATTTGTTCCTCCAGTTGCTCCATTCAACAGTGTTTTGAGGCTCTTTTACTGACTTGAAATTTGTGCAATAATTTGTGTTAATACTTAGATATTCAATCTAGCTACTGCTAAATTCCAGAAAAAATACTGACTGAATTTGTTCTGATGCAAGTTAAGAAAAACATTAGGGAAAATTACTTCTCCCTCTTCAGTTGCTTCATGGCTCCTTCTGCTAATACCAGACTTAGTTGGGATATGTCCATGGGATTCTGTATTTCGGCTTTCCCTTCTGTTTTCTTAGCAAACTCTATTTCTAAGAGTTGAACATGCTGTTGGTTCCTTCTGCAGCTTGGCCCATTAAAACTTTTTGTTTTAAAGCTTCTGTGAACAGCGATGAGAAAACTTCTATTTTCTTATTATCTCCTCTCCAAAGTGCTGTTCTGGTCTTGTTTTGTTTTACTTTTCTTTTTCAAATGGGACTCCTTCCAAATACTCACTGTGTTTGGAAGGCTACATGAAGTGAACTGAAGGAAAGACATATTTCATTCTGTGAAAATGCCCTCTTGGGATCTTAGGAGAAGATTTCTGTCATGATTATTCTCAGGCTTGAGGTTTTCACTCTGCAGTGGAAAGTGTCTTAGAGTCTAAGTGACTGGTGATATCTTCAAATCCCTCAAATTTGAAAATGGGGCTGGTCAACCAGTAAAGTGTGTCTGCAAGTGTTCTCCAGGATTTAATTAAGTATTATCTTTCAGATGCCAAAAATAACAAATAATAATGCCTGGAATAGATGAGGAAGCAGCAGGCTGGTTTTTTCTGTCATTGTTTTCCTCCATATGTAACTAACCCATTCCAAAAGCAGAAAATATTTAAAAGCCAAGAGAGTGGATATTTCAGAAGTGAAAAGAATAGTTAAAGTAGCACTGATGTACTTGTGAATATAATTTTTATTCCTTTGTTTCATACCAAGAAGCTGGTCTGTGAATAATCAAATTCTCTGCATCCAGCTGGCTTAAATGTTGTATCACTGAGACACACTCAGCTGCCATCAAAGTAATTCCACAGGGATCTGACTGAATGTATGAATTGCCTTTGCCAATTCAGAAGGCTGTAAAACCATGTTAATATAACTGCTGAATTACACTGTAGTTTATAATGCGTAATTTCTTGTCTAATTTCAGACTGTAGAACTAGAGGACAGTTTAATGCATTTTCATATCACTTTCGGGGAAGACGTTCTCTAGATTACAGCTTTCAGGAGGACAAGCCCTTGAAGAAAATCAAAATATCCAAAACAGTAAGGTGAGATTTTTTTTTTTTCAAAGTAGTATGAAAAAACAACTTGTTTTCAAAATGCAATGAAATGGAATGATTTTTTTTTGTAAGTGCGTACCACGTTTTTCCAGTGTCTGCTTTCTCAAGTTTATGATCGATGTATTTCATTCTGACACCTGCATATCTGCTATCAGTAAACCACTTTTTTTCAAGCTCGAACTTGTGTAAGATCCTTTGTGAGTGACACAGTATAGGGCTTTTATTCTTACTGTGTTTTTCGTGAAAAAACTCAGTGATGGAGTGTAGTTTGGGGGATTTGGAATCCCACATTCCTACTGTGTCTACAGTAACCAAACTAAATTATTTCCTTTCCTCCTTGGAGATGATAGGTCCTGCTGTAGAAATAGGAGGAAACCAAGTGTTGATAACACTCATAAAAATTTATGATGATGGTAGGGATTGCTTCTGGTACCAAAATACTCAGAGCAATAATGAAGAAAAATAGTGCTACAGACAATGTTGTTTATGACTCCTTAATCCTCAAAGTACTCTAGCAAGGAAGTAAATCACAGTGTTGGTCACAAATGATCAACTGCACAGTGTCCTTGCAATATCCAAGGAATCAAATCTCATCTATGAATTCGTGAAATGAAATGAGTTCTGCTCAGAGCAAACATTTCTTTTGCAAATGCTTCATGTTTAGAGAATTTGAGACTCTCTTAAATTATAACTCTTTCCATATAGCATGTGTTCTCTTAGCAAATAAAATTATCTACTTGTCTGAGATGACCAGGCAGTCTACCAACTTTGGCAAGGAAAACAGCTAGACAGATATGTAGATAGGTAAATTTATTTTGGCAGTTTCAAATACTCATGTGGATATTAGAGCACTGAAGAAACACCACCATTGTATTTCACTCAATTGATAGGGAGCTGTCCTGAAGCCACAGAGCTTTTAGGTGTTCAGGTTTTTAGACAAGAGAAGGCAGCAGCTACGTCTAAGCTTACTTAGAAACAATAGAAAAAGAAAGGCTCCTTTGAAGTAATCCTTGAAGAAGGATGTTTTGTCTGTCTTTGCAAGTGAACTGTTAGAAGTTTTTTAATTTGCAAAACAGCAATTCACTTTTAAAAGATGCTAGTCCCATAATTCTAAAACTATAAAAAGGTTAATCACAAATGAAAGCAAGATAAAATGAACACTTGTATCTGAGAAGCAGCTTGTTTTCATTAAATTTCAGAAATGAAACTCAAAAATCTACAACAGTCCAATTACTAATTAGGACTACAAAATAGTAAATTTACAATACTTTATTTATAGCATAAATAAAGCTAAGCAGCCTCAGGCTTTTAACATTCGTATCAGTTCTTATGCTCATTATTGTATTTAAATTACATTTGTGGTGAGAACATCTTTCTCTCCTTTTTTTCCTTCTCATTTTCAATAACTTGAGCAGGTGGGGAATATTAAACTTTTTGTTATACAATAGCAGCTGGTTTACTTGAATTTTGGTGTGTTGTGTTGTTTAGAGTTCTTTTGTCTTTAATTTAGATGAAAAACTATGGGAAACTAAGTAGCCTGAACACCTGCCCATAAGTGCTGGTTTAATTTATGCAGGAAGATTATAAATCATAAGCCCTATTATATGAGAGAGAATTTCTTTGCCATTTCATTCTCTGGGTATCCCTTAGCTCTGGAGAAGACAAAATAGGAATGCTTGTATGGATTCAAGGATCTTAATGTAGTAAGTGACTTTATAATTAGTGTTATCCTTGCTTTTGAATACATGTTTTCTTAACTGGAGTCAAGTAACATATTAGTTATGGACAGTTTCTTTGATAACTGTTTCCCATCAACAGATTGAATTGATTAACACAATTTAGGGTTACACATCTGTTATCAGATATCAGCTAGAAAGTGCTATAGACAAAAGACTCTATATTCTGCGTGCGATAATCAGTATTGATTTCAAATGTTAGTTAATATGGGACACAGGAATATGTTCATATCTAAAAGTACTTCTCATTTATTTATGAAAACCAACTTTTTCCTTTTTGAAGTCCTATTTCTTTAAATACATGCTTTGCTAATGAGCATGGAGAGTGAAAACCTATGAATCTGAAGGCAAAATGTGAATTTTGTGTTTGGAAGTAAAACTTTTTAAGAATCTCTCACTTCTGTCTGCTTTCTTATTGGAGGCTCAGGAGGCTCAAAGAGGGAAGAGGGTTCCTTCTGTAAGGCCTTTGACATGTCCCCTCCAACATCCTTCTCCCTAGATTGGAGAGAGGTGGATTTGATGGGTGGAGTGTTCGGTGGATGGGGAATTGGTTGGGTGGTTGCATCCAGAGGGTAGTGGTCAACGGCTCCATGTCCAGATGGAGATTGATGACAAGTGGCATCCCTCAGGGTCTGTACTGGGACTGGTGCTGTTTAATATCTTATTCAATGACATAGATGGTGGGATTGAGTGAATGCTCAGCATGTTTGCTGATGACACCAAGCTGAGTGGTGTGGTTGATACTCCTGAGGGATGGGATGCCATCCAGAGGGACCTGGGCAAGCTTGAGAAGTGGGCCCGTGTGAACCTCATGAAGTTCAACAAGGCCAAGTGCAAGGTTCTGCACCTGGGTTGGGGCAACCCCCAGCATCAATACAGGCTGGAGGATGAAGGAATGGAGAGCAGTGCTGCTGAGAGGGATTTGGGGGTACTGGTGGATGAAAAGCTGGACATGAGCCAGTAATGTGCACTCACAGCCCAGGAAGCCAACAGTATGCTGGGCTGCTTTAAAAGCAGCATGGCCAGTAGGTTGAGAGAGGTGATTCTCCTCCTCTACTCTGCTCTGGTGAGACCTCACCTGCAGTACTGCATTCAGCTCTGGGGTCCCCAGCACAGGAAAGACATGGATTTGTTGGAGCAGGTCCAGAGGAGGGCCACAAAAATGGTCAGAGGGCTGGAGCACCTCACCTATGAGGACAGGCTGAGAGATTTTGGGTTGCTCAGCCTGGACAAGAGAAAGCTCTGGGGAGACCTTATTGCAGCCTTCTAGTACTTCAAGGGGTCTATAAAAATGATAGAGGCAATCTTTTCAGAAGGACCTGTTGTGGTAGGACAAGGAGTAATGGTTTTAAACTAAAAGAAGGTAGATTTAGACTAGATAGAAGGAAGCAATTTTTTACAATGAGGATGGTGAAACACTGGAACAGGCTGCTCAGAGAGCTAGTAGACGCCAAATCCCTGGAAACGTTCCAGGTCAGGTTGGATGGGGCTCTGAGCAACCTGATCTAGCTAAAGATGTCCTTGCTCACTGATTTCCTGGTGAATTTAAGGTGATGCTTTACAGTGTCACTAATGACAGCTTTGTGTGTCCACCTACATGAAACACATACCTTTTTTTTTTTTTTTGGTAGAAGAAATTCCCTGTTACTGGTGATATTAACTGTAATCCACAGCTCACCTGACCTGCGTCTGTCTTCAGCACCACTGAGTCTTGCGTACTGTTGTGGTTCATACGGTTCCTACATTTGTTGCTTGCTCTTCTTTTACAGTTTTACTAAGTATTCCAAAATATCTAGTGAAATAAAAATGAGTTAGATGAATATTCTGACTTGGCATTCATTCATTGCAGTTCTGTGAAGCAGAGTAAATATTTTCGTAATGCCACATCAGCATCTAAAGAAAATACAAACATGCCTGCAGTGAATGACTTCAAAGAATTTGTTTTGGAAATGCAAAAAACTATTTCAGGCCTCAGAAATCAGGTAAGGTGCTATAATGGACAGTTTCTAATTGTAGATTTAATTTATAATGTTTTCCTAACTTCACTCATCTTGTGTTTTTAATATTTAGACATCCACCTCAGCCAAAAAACAAATAGTATCTTAAACAAAACACAACACAGAACATGGTGTGTTATTATTCTTTATTTCTAAGTTCTTTTGAAATCATACTGAAATATTCTACAGTTAGGTCTTCTTGAATTTTGAATCTGAAGCCTTACATAAACATTGTATACTAAACATGGAATTAGTCTTTAAAAATTTGTCTGTAGAGTTAATAAAATCTTTTTGTTCCTATCTGAAATGTATAGAATCTATGTAAAACTATGATTAAGATGCAGACTTCAGAAGAAGTAATATGCCACACTACAGCTATAAACATAGTTAAGATCAAGATCACTCAGAGAAGACTTCTACAATGTGGCATAAATAAACTCTTTATTCAGAATAACTCTGCCATAGTGGAATTCAGTTTTAAAACTGTATACCATACAGGACAGACAAACCCAAAGTAGGCCAAAATATTTGCCTAGAATAATTACGTTCCTCCAGAGCAGCTTTTCCATGTGATTCATAGATATGAATAATTTATTTATTTGCATAGTAACTTGATTCCGTCTTTGATAGTATTATTTAATTGTTGTTGTACTCATCTTCAGTGCTCCCACTTTGACAGTGGAAACGCTACATTAAGTTAAGGCTTATTACATTTCAGTCAGTTCTGTCTTTTTTGGATGTAAAAAAGACTTAGGGATTGTTAAAAATTGTGCCTTCCTAATTACTGTTTCCAAGAATCACCCAATCATCAAGATAAACTGATCTTATAACCCATTTTTTTCATCATTAAGGAAAAAAAATGGAGATAGTCAAAAATCCAAGAAAACATTTTTGATTAAGATGGTGGGTTTTGGTTTGGGGTTTTTTTTGGTTTTTTGGTGGTTTTTTTTTGTTTTTTGTTTTTTTTACCTGGTTTTCATTCAGATATTTTTGAAAGTTTAGATTTTCTTCCCATATGTGTCACATGTAGTTTGCTTTTCTTTGTATGCACTAGGTGTATATTCCAATGGTATGAAAGATGTATCTTCTGTTAGTTTTCTTTTGAAAGGCTGTTTCTATAAGTATTACCTGTTCCCAATCTTATTATGAAAACGAAGTAGTGAGAAGAAAACCCAGACAAGTATTTATCATGGATTATGTAGCATAAGAGAAAAGACATAATACCTTGCAGAAATAAAAACCTCTCTTTGAGATAGTAACCTTTTTTAATGTTTCCAGATAAAAAAACTTGAATCACGCCTCAGTAAAACTGATTGCACTGATGAAAAGGGTAAATCATATTCCAGCAATGAAACCTGGAAAAGGGACCCTTGTACTGTGTGTGAATGCAAAGTAAGTATGTGGAAATCCACTTTTAGATAGAAATTATATTACGTTCTGCTTCTAAAACAGTAGTGCTGTTCTAAACCAGTTTTGTGCCTGCTAATTTCTGGGTCATATTTGCTAGTTGGTTTTTTATGGCTCTTCAGCTATTTGGTGCAAAAAAATTATATTGTTCGGATATCCCTGCCCTTGATGTTGGTTTTTAATCCAGCCTTTATGTACTTCTATTGTATTTCCATTTTCATTGATGTATAGTTGTACTGGCAAAATTAACTGCAAAGTGAGAGACTTCTTGAAAAAGTCTACTAAAATGCATGAAAATCAATAAAAGCTCATCTAACTTAATGCTAGATTTTAATTTTCTTTTATCACGGTGGAATTTTTGAAAAGGTAGTAAAGAAATATGTTAGTGCTTAGTATCCCAGAGTTTCATGCCTGAACATTAGATAAAATGGCATACTGCTCTATTAAACACAGTATAATAGAAAGAGTCTTCTCAATATAAGTTTATGCTGAAATAAACTATGTGGAGTTAATCACAGTAGCCAAGATCTTAGAAAGGATGAATGAGAACATGTTCTTCAATAATATAAAAAATGTATTTCTTGTTTGGAATATGTAGCTAAGTATGTTCTGGTTTTGTTACTTTTTTCCTGACACAGGTTGGTCAGATTACCTGTTTTGTAGAATCCTGCCCGCCAGCTGACTGCAAAGCACCTGTGAAGGTTAAAGGAGATTGCTGTCCAGTCTGCTTAAAACAAAATAGTAATAAAAAGAAGCCATAAGTCTGCTTTTTAAGAATTTAAGGTGCATACTCCTCAAATCATATCAATGCCTACTGATGGCAAAAGCAGGTAACTACAGTCTTAACAGCAAGAAATCAAGATTTACAATATTCTAATGGTGCTGTAACAGTATAACATAATGTATCATTTTATTTTCTGCCCATGAAGGTAATCACAATGCAAAAATTAACAAAAGGGAAATTAGCAAACAGGTCAAAGTTAATTGTGTGTTAAACTTCTCAGGTTAGACAGACTCAAACTGGTGCTACTTTAAAAGAACACTGTCAGGTAGTTTTAGACACCCAAAATGACTGGGCTTAAGACTTACTCTAAAATGAACACTTTGTTTCCTGTCTTTAATTAGCAACATTAAAAGTTTACTATCCCTTTTCAGTACCAATCTGACTTGATATTTAGCTCTTTGTTATTATTTAGCGAATGCAGGGAAAAGGAAAACACAAGGTCACTGTGCCCAAAGCAACGCCATAGAGGGCCAGTTTCTGCAAACACCTATGCATGGAAATTCTGTTGAATCACACTATCATTTCTGTATCTGGACCAAGGAAATAAAGAAAACTATGTGACACCTTTCAACATCCTTTCATTAATTCAAGAAGCCAAATTAATCAAAATTTTCAGACTGAAAAAGCTAGAATTTGTAAGGAAATATAAATAAATGTAATTGGAAGATACAAAAGAGCAACTGAATGTATATTATGGATGTAATTGACAGTGTTCCTCATTCTAGGAAAACTCACAACAGTAGCATTTGATCCTAAAATGAACATAATAATTTTTGTCATAACATGTAATTGCTTGACAACTTTGTTTCATTTTTTTTAAATCATTGTAACGTGGCCATCCAGTCCAGTTTTAAAGCATGCTTCTTTTGATCTCAGATCAGCTCACGTATTTGTGTGGCCCTGTTTTGAAAATGTGAAAATATGTCACATGCCATTTTGTATACAAAGGTTCCTACTGATTCCTTGTGCATATTATCAATAGACGTATGTTCCTGATTATATTGTGGCACTGTTCGTTGAAAAAAAAGAACAATCAAAGTCAAGCATCATGATTAATTGTGGATTGACTACTTTTTCTGACAAGGTATTTGGTTTTTTAAGGTTTTTTTGCGGTTTCACCTAATGCCTATATATTTTACCTCAATATTGTTATCATTCATGTTAAAAATCGTCTGCCAATGAAATTTATTTCCCATTTAATAAATGTTTAATGTTATGGAGTATATGTCTACACTAGCATTTCAAAGTTGTGTTCTTTTTAGAATACAAACTGCATATTTTTGACCAGGAATTATATATTATATTCAGTGAAGGACAACTATCTTACCTCATTTTACAGCTTTTTAATGGTTTTTTTCAGAATTGATTCTCTCCCGGAATACCTAATATGTTAGAATTAGTGGCTCTGTCCTTAAGTCCAAAGTCAGGACTAACTAGAACCAGAGCTCTTCTTTAGTTATGTAGTTCACTGACTTCTGAGTTCATTGTTCAAATTAGGGAACAGAGATTTCGGTATCAAAGAAATCTACGCAAAACTAAACATTCTCATCTTAAACATTTCAGGTTATGCAAACAGACTGAATACTTAATTATTGCATGGTAGATTAAATACCTGTCTTATGACTAACCTAGCACAGCAATATGAGTTCCACTATAATATTTTGGCACATAATTTCTCTGATTACTAACATCAATAATTTCTAATTTGGTAAACTGATACCATGACACATGTTCAAACTTCGATGTATCTTTAAAGCTTATTACAGAAACTTGTTTCATACTATGGTAGCAGCAGTATGTACATGTGAGTGGTGTGTTAAAAGGTGTGTGGTAGATGTACACATGGAACTACAATTTATATTTTTAAGAGTATTTTAATTGATTTTATATACAATGTTTTGACTTATGTAATTTTCTATGTTAATACTTTTATAAATTGTGTGTGGCGAGCATGTTTGAGTATCATATGGTTCCTAGAGGTTGTCATTCCTGTATTTCTTTGATGCTCTGGTATTTTGTTGACTTTTTCTGAGAGTCCAAACCACATGTCTCGTCCTGTAATTCCAACCCAGATGGAACACCCATTGACCTATAGCAGGAATTCCTCAAAGAGGAAGGATTGCAGAGCTAAACCAAATGTAATTTAACTGTCTAAACAGTCAAATAAGGCAGTAATACATCCAGCTGGTTACTACTTGCATTCTTTTATTCCAATTTTATATTAAATAAACTTTCTCACAATTTACGCTTATAGGAGAAGAGAGTTTCCATTTATACATTATAAAATAGTACCTTATATCTGATTGTTCCTTTTCTCCAGCCTCCAGAGTAAAGTGGGAGGTTTTCTTCTTTATTCACTGTTTATTCATATGGTATATAAAGTGGGCTTAGAAGTTGGATATGCTTAAACAAGTGTAATGTTGAGTTATTTTCTGCCATCCATCTGATTATAAATCATTCAGAAAAAACGGGTCTTTATCCACAGTTTAAAATGTAATCACTCATGGGTTGTACTAATTCAGTTTTATTGCAGTGTCTGCAGAATCAGCATGGATTTTTAACATTTCTGAAACAGTGGCCAATGGCTAGATGACCATTTCCTCGGTATCCACTGTGAGAATATTGCTGTAATGTGATGCAAATTTTACGTATTTATTTTCTTTTTTAATGTTACCTAAAACAAAGCCTTTGTCGTTTTTATTTTAATCGGTAAATTTACCAAAGAACTGTTTGCACTGTATAATGAATGCTTTTCAGTTAAAATAAATGGGCCACATTTCCAAGTACATTCCAAGTGATTTCTTCTTGATATGTGTATTATTTAGACTGTTTGCTGAAGATTCCGGTGTGTAGGCTTTTATCAAAAATCCGTATTACTTATGTGGGGTTGTCATGATCAAGACTCTCATGTCTATGAACTAAGCAATGAGCTAACGAATCATTTAGATTCAGTAGGTTCTTTAATGTTATGACACATAGAATTAAAATATCTATTCACTGTTCTCTTCTAGGTGATGGGGAAAAAATACACGTAGACTCAGATAAGATATTTAAAAATACACATTTCGTAGCACAAATGTGTATTTGAAAACTTTTAGTGCTGAACATCTTTTTCCCATTTTTATGGGAATGTCATAGTACTTACATACAGCCTATTGTGACACAGTTTCTTCACTTACTCACATCTTCAAATAGATCCAGTCATGACTTGCCTTCCAATGCGCTCGATTCCACACTCATTCTTTATTCACATCGTTTCACAAATGGTTATCCAGGTTCATGCAGTCTCAGCTCAAAATGAGTATCCTGTGCAGAAGAGATCTTATTTACCTTGTGTTTCTTCATCACAGGATATGGATTACTGCTGAACACATGACAAGTTACTCTTATCCTTTGGTGAGGTGTTAGGATCTCTAGGACACTGGGTCAGTTCCTTTGTTAGATCCACCTGACATTCATCTGTTTCTTCACGACTTCATACAATAAAACATTTTGTGATACAATATCGTTGCAATTAATATAATGCTAAGTTGCCTTACAGTGACACGGAAGAAGTTAGAGGGACTCCAAGACACAGAAGAATCATTCATTTTCAGGTTGCAGTTAACTGTGCTTCACTATAGTTTGACTTTGAGTATTGCATAAGGCAAATCGAGAAAAGCAGAACTGCAATGGTTCATTTATGTGTTTTCCAGCAGGCTGCCTAAATATCCTATTGCTCTTCCAAAATGTTGATGAGTAGTATTCAGTCAGTATCCTATAAAAATTTAAAGGCAATCAGATTATCGTTTTTCTCCAAATTCAGATAAAATTAGTTTGGCAAAGTGCTGGTATACATTTTTGTAGTAACTTAAATGGGTAATGTATGCTTCTTTTAACAGACATAGTCAGTTTCTAAGTTCCTAAGCCTAATCTGATAATACTCAAATATTATATTTCAACAATTTTTTAATTTTATTTTTCACTATGAGACTAAAACAGGCAGCAACTTGAAAAGGTTTTCTTTGTGTTAGTACAAACAAGACAATAGCCAGGGTTCAACACAGTTAATTGCCAAGAAGTTTGCTAACAGTTACAAAAAGAACAAACCAAAAAGTTTAGACATTTAGAATAAAACTCTTGGTCTGACACTGATATATTTTGAGGAAGATTCAGTTATATTTGAAATAAATTGAGTAAATTGACTTTATTCCTTTTGGTTGATTACAGCTAAGAATCATTGGGCCGTGGTATGGTTAAAGTTGTCTTTGTAGGGAATGACCTCCCATACCCCGTAACTTTGTTTTGTAAAATAATATTTTGTTGCCATAGTGTATGTCATTATATGATCTAAAAATATTTTTCTTTTTAATCCCCTAATAGTTTCATGCTTTTTTCCTATAGTATACTAAATCAGTGATCTTTGCAGTGAGATTTTTAGACATGTTGGGACTGTTCCATGGCTTTAGTTTGGAAACTAGAATAAGGTATCAAAAGCTCATATATTTGACTATTTTTCTGAAAACTTCTGCGTAATTCTGTTGTCTAATTATTAAATTAGATTAAATGTTTTGCATATACAGGATAATACAATTATAAAATTACCAGTAGAAAGAAAAACTGTTTACTGTCCTCTCATGGTCTCTTTCATCTACAATGCAGGGTTCAGTACAGTATATTTCAGAATTCAGTACACTAATTATTATGTACGGGAAAAAGTCAGATCCAGTATGTAATGCAAAGCCTGTTAGACAGAATATGTCAACAAAAAATACCAATATGAGCATATGCACATATCTCATTCGTGCTGGAAGTTTGTCAGACTCCCAGTGGAATGAAACAACATTATCCTTATTTAAACTAATGGGAACTAATGAATTACTAAATATGTAATAAATTACTAGATAATGATACTGTCCTAACCAGCTTTGCATTATGATGTACCTTATCAAGAGATTCTTCCAAGTCATGAAAAGGCAGCATTGTCTGCTAATAGAATATTTTAAAACAATATCAATATCAGACTGTTGTTTTGCCATTATCCTGGCTGCTCCGTTTCGTGCAATAGTTCCTTTTCTTTACATTTTTCACATTTAGCCTGCTGTGACATGGCAAGGAAATGTCTGCACCTCTAACATGCTTTTCCTTTTCTTTTCTGCCCAACTTCTTTTCTGTCCGCTCATCAGTGTTATGAATGGTCCTTTCACTGCACTTTACCATTCCAGCCTGGTAGCAGACA